TTTCTCTCTTAAATTCAACTAAAACAATCCACATCCATCTGCAATTCTGAAACTGAGAGACCTAATATGAAAGTAAGCAAGCAGCTTACGTTGGATGGATCTCTTGACAAGTTGAAGGCTGTTGTGGTAGCCGCTTCATATTGGCCATCATCAACAAATTTTGTGACCTCAGATAGTATGGGTGGAACACCATGGTCTGTATAATAACCAGGAGTTCCAATCCAAAATATGTCCTCTGTTTCAAATAGAAGAAAAAGTCCTTAATTAAATTATTCAGACCCTTGTCCATACTAATATAAGGTCAATTTCAAACTTCATCCATCAATTTTGCATCCCTATGAACTTCGAAATTGAGTACAAATTATTATATTCGTGTCTGGCTACCATGGAAGAGATTTCTTGAAATTCCATTATATATTGGGACCCCAGTTCTTTAAAAACTCACTATTGACCATTAATAAAAGATTAGCACGAGGATTGTTATATAACATATTGTAGTTTCAGAAACATACACATAAAATATTATAAGTTCCCTGTAAGTTAAACAAATTAATCAGTAACTCCTTAATTTCACCACTATCACAATATGGCTGGCTTTACTGAAGCAGAAACCAAAATAAGCCAGTAACACAAACAGTTCAAATTGAAGAAATTACACAATTCGAAGCTATTAGAATTTTGGGTGTGGCCCGAATTCTTTGTTGAAAATAATTGGGAATTCTAATTAAAGTGCACGTTAATTAGAATTCTATTTAGAATGCAATTGTGAAATCATATTCAAGTTTTCTTGGCAAATTATAATTGAAGTTCTACTTGGAAGTCCATTGGGAGTAAGAATTTGTGTTGTACTTGAAGAAAACTTTGAAATGAAGAAGAACATCATTGAAAGGAGTTTGAGTTGGAGACGTGGCACCTAGACACTTGTAGCCGTAAATAATACAGCAAAGTCGGCACGACGTTGTACCACCCAAATAGAAGCACCGCGGCTCCACCTCTTCTGCCCTCTTCGCTGTTTTCGTCTTCTTTTCCATTTTGAACTCCATTTTTGACATTCTACTTCATTTACAACTCTACTATAAGTGTTTGAATGTTCCCTATTTGTTCCCTATATATAGTTGACTCGTTATAGTTAAATTTAAGAGAGAAAATAAGACAATACAAAGAGAATTTAATTGTATTGAATGTGTAATTTGTTTACAAGAGAGGCATCCTATTTATAATTTAACTTGATAGGAAAGTTTTAC